TGTTTGATCCATGAGCATCTCTGCGATCTTCAACTACCAGCTAAGGGTTCTTAGTGTGAAAATAGAGGCAATGGATATACTTAAAATAGAGAGGAAGTCAACGTTGATAAACCTAAAAAAGGTGATAATACACAAAAGGAAGAGAAAAAAATGGGGGAAAAAAACTTAATGCACAATTACAACCTCTTCCATCCTATGTTTGAAAATGTTCGTTTGATATGGCAGATGAAATTCTGATCAATTTTTTGTAATCTATCTTCTAGTTGTCTTTTAATTTCACCGTATGATGAGTTGAATAAATAGCCAAGGTGGTATTCCTCGGCTATTTATTCAACTCATCATACAGTGATAAAATGGTGTTACTAATCAACGATTTCATAAGTTGTCTTTTAATTTAATTAATGGAAAATCATTGTGCCGAATAAGTTAGACGGACGACGAGCTAAATGAGTAATTCAAATCAAAGCTTCATCATGAAGTACTCTGCAACTATTCCGATTGCTTTGGCATTATAGTTCGGGCGGTACCCATATCAAAATATGTGTTCTTGCCCGTCTGTTGGCCCTATATTCTTACCTATATTCTTGCCTCTTTTTTTTGTCCTAGATCCTAAATATGCATTTCCTCCTCTCCTATTGCAGATTATAAATGCTTCAAGACGCTGTCCATTGTTATCAAAAGAGCGATCGGAAAGGAAAGCAATCATTCAACAAAAACTAGATGAAAATCAGGACTTTCTGGCCAATATTTCAAAGAGTATTGGTCTTCAAGTCACCACATCTCATGAATTATACGATCTCAGCGACTATTTGTCCGTAGTGGTACGCCATTTAAGTACTTTCTATTATTTCTATGTACTTTGTTTTTTTTTACATTACATACCCCTGACTTAATGTGTATATTTTGAATGATTGGAAGAGTAAATCAAATATCTGGGCGAAACGTATCAATTCTCGAAAGAAAAACATATAAGATCTTTCAAGTTACGACTAGAGGCGCATCCAGCCATTTGGCAACACTATGGGTTTCCTCTATTTAAACCTATGCTAAATGATCGATTCTTATCGAAGCACCTGGCCTCTCCAAGAATCGATACATTTTCATAGGTTTAAATGGAGAAAAGACAATGTTGCCAATTCGCTGGATCCGCCAATGGTTACGACTCAGTATCCGAAGCGTGCTTAAATACACTTTTTTGTCAAATGTCCCATGAAATTGGAGCATATAGGATCCAAAGGAAACAGGGACATCCCGGAGAAAACTAAAATAATATCACCACTAAATAGCTCTTTTTAGCAGCATCCAAGAGAATAAAATGAATTTCCCAAAATTACAATTTTAGGACCTAAGGGTTTTTAAACACTTTCAAATATCGGCCTAAACCTGGGAAAAAACGAATTCTTTCTTTCTCCATCCGGAATTCCATTGAAGTGCGTGCTTCGCCAGGAACTGTGTCCTCCAGAAAAATGTCTTTCATTCCATCACTAAGGTGCCAGGCTCAAGGGAGCATTCACCTAAATGGGATTTATAATGGTGAAACAACTTTTCGGATTAAAACAGTACAATTTTATCTTCTCTTCTAAGAAATTCACAGGAATAATATTGATTTAGACCTGAAAAGTGTACATGTCTAATCACATTGTCACATAACTATGATTTAAGTTGTAGCTTAAAATAAGTCATCGGGCCTAAACAAGGTTGTTTCTTTAATATGAAAAGTAAATCTGTGCCCTTTCAATCCTGCTTGCTTCAATTTTAACTTACCAGAAAAGAGCTTATTTTAAAAGAATATTCTTAGTGTTTTTTTCTCGTTTAAAAAGAACGAGCCTCTACTTACAACTCAACAATTAATGGAAAAAGTGAAAACAAGCCAACTTTTTATTCAATGATTAGTAAACTATATAATCACTTGGGCTAAGAGCAGGGCCGGATTTATCTACTTGCCGCCCATGGGCCGCCTGTATTTTGCCGCTCCCTTCTCATTCGTTTTAAAACATCAATAAAAACCATCAAATTAACGTGCCAGCGGGGAAGGGGTGCATAAGACGCGTTTACACGTATTGAATACATTTTTTGGGAAAGCCCTGTCAACACTACTATCAAAAGTTCACGAAACTTTGCGCGAAAGTTAAGTTTCGTGAATCTATATCTGTGTGGACAAGGCCTTCCATTCATAAGAAATGAACGAAAAAAGTATGAAAGAACAAACATAAAATGTGGATTAATGATTATAACTTCCGCCGCCGCGCCAGACCACACCTTGTTTGACGCAATGCGTGAAGTATTCATGCAGTCTTGTAGGCGCTATGCGTTTCACGCTGTTCGCACTGTGTTTACCGCAGTGCGTGGTGTATTCATGCATTCTTGTAGGCGCTATCCGTTTCACGCTGACCGCAATGACCCAATGGCCGCACTGTGTTTAATGCAATGCGTGAAGTATTCGTGCAGTCTTGTAGGCGCTAATGTGTGTTACATGCCGATCGCCGCACCGAGGGCTTCTCCTTTTCATCTCAAGTCCTCGTCATCATTTCTCTCTAAGTCGCGCCGTTCCAGGCCAAATTGCGGGTTTGATTTCTCTCTTAACTCGACTAATTAAGGTGCTGTCTCCTGTATCACTGAAAGACGACAAAATTAGAAATTACTATACACTCAGAAAATGAGAGATTTGATCGCCGTTTCTCGTTTGTAATTTTTACTTTGTCTAAATCTGATTTTTTTTATACCTACATGTAAAAAAATTGCAAAATTTGCCGCTCCCCATAGATTTGCAGCCATGGGCCGCGGCCCATGGGGCCACCCCCTTAATCCGGCCCTGGCTTAAAGCATGAACAGTTGTGATTAAAAAACCACGTTATTTGAGGTGAAACGTTCGCTTTTATTCATAGAAGGAAGAGGGACTTCCGTTACCAGAGTGGGTCCATCGTATTGATCGAGAAAAGCTTGATTCTCTTGCTAAAATCGATGAGATGAGACTTTACTACACACCCACAATGATAAAACTCTATTCAGGTAGTTATGAAATATTCTTTAATGTCTATTTACAAGTATTTTAAATTGCCAGAACCAGAGGGTTCTTTAGTATAATGGTTTTAATATTTAAAGGTTTTATGAAGATTATCTTAACCAATGATACTGCAAATAGATTTAGGCGTTTTTTTGAAATGCAGCAATTGCAAGGCTAGACAAATTAGATATTTCTCGGTTTTATCATTATTTTTTTTAACTTTTTAATTATCTATTATTTTGTTTTAAAGAAACGAGAGGAGTTTATAAATGAATACCTGACAATGATTAACGTTAACTGCTCAGGAATGCCAAAGTATGCCGGTAAATTTGGATAATTTTTGGAACATAGGGAACTTCATTACTCTCAAATCAAATAGCTGTCAAATTTTTGTCAAAGAACGTCATCAAGGAGGAAAATATAGGCAAATTCATTATAGCAAAGAAGGTGATTAAATAGATCTTCACGGTTTAAATGAAAATATTCTCTATCGACATTCGTCACTTGCACTTTCAAGGGGTATTCGTTCTAAAAACCTTATCACTTCACAAAGTCGAGAAGGCCTTATAATAAAATCAAAATCTTTTTTTCAATTTTTGGTGCAAAAAGTAAAAGTAAATTTTCCGTCGTAATAGTCAGCATAGTTTTATGTTGTCATTGTTGACATGTCAGAGGAACGTAAAGGCATATCTATGTCAACACTTTTACCCGCTGTTCGTTTTTTATTCAAAAACTGATAGGGATTTTTACTTCAGAATTTCATTAATACAATCTTTCTTCAAAATGTACGGATAATTTCGCTGAACCGTGAACAGAAACCGCAAGGTAACGTACATTTGGAATAAAAAACCATTGAAGTACATTTTGCTATCTTGGTATTGAGTTACGTTAATTTGTCAAGAAAATGGCGCGGAAAATTGTTTTGAAATTTAAATTCAATTCATTCCGATAACTATACAGCCAGCTGTGTATTAATGTATAGTTATTAATTATATTTTTATCTTCTTTTGCAGGCGTTTTAATCCACGATATTCTCTCAAAAATGGACAAAGCAGCGGAACTCAAAGAAGGCTATAATGGACGGTTAAGTTTATATTCGGCGCACAGTAGCACTGTGCAAAGTCTATGGAGAGGGCTCAACGTAAGTCAAGATATGCCAAGGCCTGATTACGGGGCAGCAATTATCGTAGAGCTCCATGAAATTAAAGATAAGTTTAGAGTAAAGGTAAGACATTTCCCGAACATCACCGGTAAAAAAAGACCTCTTGGTTCAAGAGTGCAGCTTCTTGTCGCCGGATTTAAGAGTCTGGACTCTTGTTTCAATGCAAAATCCGCTTGAATCAATGCAAAATCCGCTTGAAACAAGAGTTCAAGAATCTTAAATCCGGCGACAAGAAACTGCACTCTTAAGTCAATGCAATGCGGCGTTGGTCCAAGAGGTTTTTCTCACCAGTGCATGTATCAAATTTTTAAAATTTGAAACTTTGATTTTCAAGAGACGGGCAGCGATGCCATTCTCCGATTATTAGAGGTCCGCAAACATTCAGTGAAGGGATGAAATGGAAGATTCAATTTGTTTCAGCATTAAGTATAAAATGTACAAATATCGTGAATTGATTCTCGCTAAAATGATGAAATGTCTTCCAGCTGATAATTACACAATGCTCATTTATTTCAGGTCCTTTACAAAAAAAGTAATTTAGATGAGAATCTCAGTGTTCTGAAAATCCGAGGCTGTGGAGTTGGAGGGCCTTCGGAGGTGGATGAGATGTGCGATCTAGATATTTTCTCGTCGGCGCTGCAGCCCACAGCTATCGATGACTTTGACAAAGCCTGCGAAATCCCGAAATAGGAAACTAAGAGGATCAGATTGACACTACCACTCGGATTTTCTCGTACGTATCTGATATACACCTAACTCAGGTTAATGAAATATACAGGAAAGAATATCCTGTAAGCTCATATTTTCTTTTGCTCCACCTCCCCCGCCCCCTACCTATCTACTTATCTTTACACTTCTCAACTTAAAGATAGGCTTATACCCGTACAAGGATAAAAAATTCTTCGGCGAGACAAAGCATGAAATGGGTGTTGCTAATTTATTGTGTGGTACCACGAACGCTTTGTAGACGAAAGTTTCAAACCTGCCTTAATTTGGATCAGCCGAAAAGGACTTCCATGAAGTCAACGTACGTAGAAAAAACTTTTATAATGTTTTAATACCCTCGAAAAATATTGGACAATAGTTTCATAAACTTTTNATTTTCGGGATGTAGATTGCTTACTTTCAATTCATGAATGAATAAAGCAACGACATGGTTGAACTTCTTTGCATGGAAAGACGTTTAAAATAACAAAATCAAGACGTATTTAATGCAATTGCATTTATATCGAGTCAATTTCTTTTCAATAATATAACGGGATTTTTACTACCGGTGATTTGGGTATTTTAGCCCCAAAATACCTTTAAATCGACTTTATCTTCTAGGAGTTCGACAGAATTTTTCCTTTCTTCGCTTAAATTATTCCGTAGCACTTTTCTTCAAGAATCTGATAAGATTTTGCTTGAGGCAGATCAAAAAACTTAAATTCGATCGAATAGCTTTCTACTTTCACAATACACGGTCTCGTCAAGGTGCGTCTTTGACCTCGCAGTGTTGGATCGTGAATTCTCTTTTTATGCTGTTTGCCTAATTTGAAATCTCTGTAAATGAAAACTAAAGGGGTTGATATGTGCGAGTTAATGACGCGCCTTATCAACACATTGTGTTGGAGTTCACTGCTTGTTTTTTTTTTTTTTTTAGAAAAGTTCTGTCTCTTTTTCTTCTTTCTTTTTGGGGGGTAAACAGGAGGAGGGTAGACGTCCCCTACGCCCCCTGGATCCGCCTATGTGTTAAATTTAAGCTGATTGCCGGGGACCCAGAAAAAACTATCGCGGTTTGCGCGGCTCTGAAAATGCATAGAATGCGCTACGCAAATTGTACGTGAGTGAGTGAATTGACTTTTTTTATTTTGTTTTGCATAATTTCACATCGGTTTTATTCATGTAAAGTATATTCAATTGACCGCTATATTTTCTGAGTGCAGCATAACTATGCTCTTCTCTATCATATCAAAATAATAGTTTTATAAAATACAACAGAGGTTGGCATTATTTTCATTCGTATAATACTGGGGAAGAAAGAAATACAATTAGGCGATTAAAAAAGAATTTCCATAATCCTTTAAAATCCCATTTTTCCTAGGAAAGATGTAGAATGAAACAGACTTTAAAAATATCGATGAAAAGTTTTAAGGAATACGGTTAGTAAGGTTTAGATTTGACTATTGCAGAAGAGTGTAATGGAAACGGTTTCAGTTTCGCCTTCAATTTCCTAAGTAGACTACAGCGGTTGCATCGATACCCGATGTAATGTTCTAACTTATGCATATTTGTAAGAACCTAGTGAAGGCAAAATTATGCGCGGGAAGGTGCACTGTTACCTTATAAGTCACATTCTATAACTGTGTTTACTTACTTTAGTGTAAATTTCATTTGAATGAATAATAAGAGAAAAGAAGGTTGGGAAACTGACACCGATAACACGCAAATGATGAAATATTGCACTGTCTCTTTGCGGATGGTCATACGATGAAAAAATTACTATTATCCCGACAGACTTTTCCAAAAATGATGCAAATAGTGTTTTTTAACGTCCTACTTTATGAATGATTACATTTCAAATACAGTTTTTCTGCTTATAGTTCAAGTTGCATACTGCCGTGCTAAGCAAGAACGCCGTAAATTCATCAAGTTTTTCCCGCATTTTTTGGAACTTAACACTTTAAAAACAAGTTTACAAAACGACAACATCTTGATGACTTTATAAAATAAAAACCGTTTCACCCATGCACCTCAAATTTTCAGGTTAAGTTCTTGATAGTATTTGCGAAAGAGCTCTGTAAAAACATTGTCCCTAGGTACACAAGTTTTCCTGGTATGATAAATTGTTTCCAAAACAATTAAAATGGCGTTTATGGCGTTTTTGCGTTGCACGGCAGCACAGTAGCTGTAACATATATCCTGTAACGAGATTAAAAGACTTGCCATGAAATCCGAAACTACTAGAGCAAACTTATCAATCCAAAACGCAAAACTTCTTTAAATCAAGGAAATTCTCACTTTCAGAATAAGTGTTTTTATTTTCGTTATTCTATTTCGATGACACTATCCATCTCAATCTCGATTCGAAAATTCTCTGTTTTCTTCCGCTTACTTTGTTTTGCATCTGGACCGTGCAGATCATCTCGAGCCACCCGGAGCAATGTTTTCTCACCTGACTACGTGCGATATTGCTCTCATCTTCTAATTTTAATTAAACCAGCATCACAGAGAGGCACGTATTTGCGTAGCCGTAGGGGTACATCCGTCATAGTTACTGCCAGGGGTTCTTTTTGTATTTGAATTTTAATGGTACTCTGAATTTCAGATTTGTATAAAAGAGTCCAATAATCATCAAACGGCATCAATTTCTTTTGTGCCTTCCATTCGATAACACGGCTCAGCAGCACCAACCAAAATCCAACATGAAATTCCAGGTACGTTCATATCGCTTATTTTTCAATTTACAAAGCTTGAAAAACATGGAAGAATTTTTTGATTATTCATCCAATATACTTTTATTGGCAGATTCGATGACGTATGTGTCTTTCCTTTTATTATTATTTTTCTTTTTTTATTAAAAAACAACTTGGTAACGCAAACTTAAATTGAGTTTTTTGTGTGTGTAATTGAGTTTAATTTATGACATTTTTATGACAAACTCATCGAGTCAAGGAAGTTTGATATTTGATAGTTTATAAGGATATGAATGGGTCAGTTGCACTGGGCTCAGAGTCGTGCTTTGATGGCAGTATTTTGTATCTAAGCAAGAAAAATAACATGAACAGTTCAAATACCAAGTTTCTTCAGTTAAAATCGAAACAGAAACTGTCTCTTGAAAATATGCATGGTTATTCAAAAGTCACGCACCACTGGCCATAACTTTATAGTTCTAATTAAGGTGTCGATTTGCGGTTTGTGACGTTTTTCCTCATATTGAGGAAGGAACTTTTTCAGGTACTTTCCAGTTTTTGATCCCCTCGGGGGAGGGGGCGGGGTGCAACTCAAAAATTTCAAATGGCCACCCCCCTCATGACCAGTGGTGCGTGACTTTTGAATAAAGCTGTAGCGGTGAAATTATGCATTATGCTGTAGTTCACTACGTACCTCTTCCACCTTGTTTTATAGATTGGGGTCCACATGGAAACTGAATACACTGGTAATGCTGGATGATTTATTTAAAAGAAACAGTGTTATTCACTCCGACTACAAAAAATGGGCGTAAATGTGTCAATTTTAGCTTTCATGTAAAGAGCATCTTATTTTTTGAAATACGCAGACTTATATTTTGCAATGGAGATGTTGCATGTGTGAGGAATTTGCGATTTGACTAATGATCCTTATGTAAAAGTTCGCGAGAAACACGATGGTGCCACTGGTTTTCTCTGAAATCAACTCCCAAGCTCAAAAAAAGATCTCGACTTGAAGCCAAAATGGAGGGGATCTCCCACGCTATCCTGAGAGTCCACCTCTACATCAAGACAGACTCTCCATGCAAAGATAGGGAGGAAATACATTAGCAGTGTTGCCGTGTTTCCAATTTTAGAGTCCCCAAATAAAGTGGCAGCTCTGTCAATGTATTTGCTCCCTATCTTTGAATGGGGAGTTTGTCTTGATGTAGAGGTGGACTCTCGAGATAGCGTGGGATATTCCCTCCATTTTGGCCTCAACTTGAGAGCTTTTTTGAGCTTGGGAACTAATTTCAGAGAAAACCAGTGGCACCATCGTGTTTCTCGCGAACTTTTACGTAAGAATGTCAAATCGCAAATTTCTCACACATGCAACATCTCCATTTGAGCACTGACAGGAGAATGTGAATATCTCTTTGCGCTAAATCGTCAGTGAAATTTATGCTTAATAACACGAAACCTAATGCTCTGTATTCCAGGTTGCCGTCGTCTTCGCCTTGTGCGCCGTCTTCGCCTACGGAGAGGAGTCCACAGAGCTCAGCCGTGAAAAGCGTTACGCCGTTGCCACCGCCGCCGCCTTTGCTCCGGCACCCGCCTTCGCCCCAGCACCCGCCTTCGCCCCAGCACCCGCCTTTGCCCCAGCACCCGCCTTTGCTCCAGCACCCGCCTTCGCTCCAGCCTACGCCCCCGCCTACGTTCATCACGCTTTCGCCCCAGCACCCGCCTTCGCCCCAGCACCCGCTTTCGCCCGAGCCCCCGCCTTCGCTCCAGCCCCCGCCTTTGCCCCGGTTCCCGCCTTCGCCCCCGTGGCTGCCCCCCGCAGTAAGGTCGTTCACTCCGTACCCGGCGCTCACGCCGAATACGTTTCTTTCGCCTAAGGGATTCACTTAAATTGAATGGTCTGCATTTCTAAGGGGGCATCTGAGGGATTGAGACCTTTTATTGGCACTTTAAAGTTCCGTGATGGTATAATAAGAAGGAATAATTAAAATGGAGCCGAAGTCATCGCAAAAAAGTAGCTTTCAATGTCTCTAGATTCGTGTAATTTGACGAGTTTTTGATCGAACTCCTTCGGTCTCTCTCAAATCAAATTTTCGAGGTGTCAACATTTTTTATTAACGTATTTTAGCTGCAATTTACAAATGTGTCTGGAAATGAAAATGATGCGCTAAGAAACAGCTTATCCGCTATACGGACAGTACTAATCCAAACATCATTGATTAGCATCAAATTACCCGGACGTTTATACGTTCATGACTTGTGCTTCAGCTACAAAATCTAAAATTCGCTATACAAAAAGAAATATTATTTCATCTTGCCAACAAATACATCGTTCTCACCGGCAAGTATCATGGCCCCAAAGAGGACACTCATTCTTTTTACTTAAGACGTATACTAAAACTTTGAAAAGTCATTGTTTTCTAATATCATCTGTGATTTAATACGAAGTTAAATTTATTGTACACGTAGTTTTTTTTAACATGCGTTACCCTGTCGTTTCAAGAAGTATTTTTTGTTGAAATAAACATGTTTTAAGTTTTCCATAAGAGCAATGTTTTTTTTTATCTAAAGGTCTTGAACCTTGTTAAGCTACCTTCCGTTCATGTTTTACAACAAGCTTTACTTATTACATACATTCCTTTGAACTTCATTTTTGCCCACAGAGTCGCTAAAATATTTTCTTCTTCTTCAAAGGTGTAGCCATTAACTTTTGATTTTGACGGATTAGTTTTTGAAAATCTTATAGTGTACGTACTACACAATGACGAAGCTGACAAAATGTCTCCAATTCGTTTTAACTTCCTTTCAATACGATTGCATATTTTTCGAAGTACGTGTGCCAACCGATCCGATATATTATGTCTTGCGTTTTATTTCGATAGTTATTCTGCACGAGGGAAGCCTACATAGCTTATAAAAAATGATCATTAAATTGCGGTAAACCGAAGCACATTTCAAAAATTACTTCGATACTGGCTGCCTGTACTCTCCTTTTTTATCTTTTTGGTGAGCTAAAAGGACACGAAGTCCCTTTTATCTAAGAACATCAGCAAAGCTTTGACATTCATAAATTGTTCTTCAAATATGTATGCTTGTTTTTAAATGTGTCCGTGATAAACACATTTCGATCGGTGAAAAATTAGATTTAAAGGCATGCCACTATGATGCTTGCTAAGAGGGAAATATAGACTTAGCCTTCTCCAAAAGGTACTTTTGGACATAACTTTAAATGTAGACCAAACATGGTGATGGATATAATCGTTTTTAGACGTAGCTATGGACATAGTCGTGGCGAAGACGACAGATTTTTTTTTAGTATTTTTAAATAAATAAAAATTGTCAGTCAAATATTATATTAATGAGAAAAATCGAATAGACTAAAGGACAAGATGAGGCACGCTAATATACTGGGTATTCCAGAGCCTCCGTCCACCATCTCTTTCCCGGAAACGGCCGAAAATTGAGCTTCAGGACGAAAATTTTTAGGGGTGAATCAACACCGAAGAATTCAATGAAGATATTTTCTGCCCCCAAAAACCCAATTTTAAGGAGGTTTGATCTTTTCTCCCAGGAGATGTTTAGATTTTTTAAAACTGGTGCCTACAGTGGCGAATTGAATTATGCCTCAAAATGCCCCGTAACTCAAGAAAATGGGGGTTTAAGGAAAAAGTACATTGAACAAAAAGTTCTAATTTTTGGCCGTATAATTCGAATCCGAAGTCAAAACATACACTTCCTATTTGATAAATTCGAAGAACAGAGGTACCCCCCCCCACCCTAGAACCTCCCAAAAATAGGTTTTGGAGGGCTGAATATATTATCTTTGAATTATTTGGGGCTGATTATCCCCCAGTATTTTTCGTCCTGAAACTCAAATCGCAGCCGTTTCCGAGTAAAATATTGTGGACATATGCTCTGGAACACCCATTATTGATACGTTACTTCCTCGGAATTTCATGAGGAACACGACCTGCAAAGCTGAAATTAATGGAATTGAAATCTGAGCAACATGTAAATGTTTTTAATTAGTGCGAATACTGAATACTGTTTATCCCGCTCACATATGAAAAACTTGAATCTGCATTAGTCATATCGTAAGCTTGAACGGTTTTTGCAGGCTTCTTAATCGAGCAGGGTCCCTTCCGCGCCCTGCGTTGGTCAAAAGGTTGAGAACGGGCAACAGCTGAGCCGAAACGCCGACATCTAGGTTACCATATTTGTATACCGCCAAAAAGCGTGACGTCAACGTTCAGAGTTCGATTTGATTCAGGGAAAGTAAAGTACGTCAAGACTCAAGTAGTAATCCAAGTGCCGGGTGAGACGTTTGAATCCATCAGTAGAAAAAGATTGGTTGAGAGTTACTTTTAATAATATAAATGAAAATACTTTTTAAAAGATCATTGGGATTTTCGGTAAGTTTTTTCAAACTCGGAAATTCATTAGCAGCACAGAAAGCAGCCGAAACAACAACATACACCCGCCCATATATCTCCTTCGTCTGGCTCTACGAATTGACTGCAACCCTTCTCCTGAGTTCGTTTTCTCCAACGGCACTGGCAACACTTTTGAGAGCGTTTGCCATTCTTCTTTGATTTTGGTTTACGATGAAACAACCAGTTTCTGACTTCCAATTTCTGTGCGTCTGGTTTAGCCAACATAGGTAGCGAGAGATTTAAAACACCTTCGTAGTCTTCCGCAACATTCTGGAAAAACATGATTGGAATGGTTATGATCGGAGGGAAGAATAAAAAAAAGTAAGGTGGTATGATTTCAAGTTAGCGCTATTTTCTAAGTCGCAGAATGGATCTGTTGCGCAAATTAGATACAGCGAACTGAATACATTTAAATACCGTTGAATCACACGAAAATATCTTTGCTCAACCAATGTGTCAGGAATGTCTAAAAATCACTCCTTATAATCAACAAATTGTGTACCATGTCATGCATTTTCTGAATACTTATAAATTAACAATTTTGCAAACTGTTACCTAAGTACCCCTCTGACATTTATTTACCGAAAGGTATAAATCATTTCTTTTTGCAAGAAACAGACGCACCTAAGGATAAAATAGTCGCTTGGACGTAATTGAAATTGTAAGTGATACATTGCAAGTTTATTCGTTCATTTAATAGGTTTGGTTTATTTCTCGTGTGCAGATCATCGAAATTCTTACTTGTTCACTTAAGATGATTCGTCGAGGTTTCTGACGTGGTCAAATTGGCATGCGATGTATTGCATCGATTATGCCAAAAATTTCAGCAGATTTTGATTTTTTAGTCAATAAAAGGACGAAAACCCCTGCGCATAAGCCTGGAGAATTATTTTAAACTCAAAAACTATCAAAATTCAGAGAAAGGAAAGGAAGGAAGGAGAGCTGCTTGGGAAAAACCACGCATTCGATGCAGAATTCGGTAACTAAATCGAACGCGAGGCTTTTTCCCAAACAGCATTCTGCTTTAATTTCTCTATAACATCAGTTGGAACCGGTTCACTGTTCGAAAATTCATTTTTCCAAGAGGTATTGACGTAGTATAGATAGGTCTCCTAGAAATATTTTTTTTTTTTTTCGGTACCCCATGATATTAATATCTTTTGATTGTCATCTTTCCGAGTTTCATTCGCGAGTCGCGTTACCAACTGTATCTCTTTTGTTCATCAGAAAATATAAAATTAATGAATTTTTACCTTTTGATTATCTGTGACCCACGAGTCTTTTTTATTATTTTCAATTAGGATTCTCGATGAGATTTTGTTTTGCACCGTGCTCTCTTGCTCGACAGTAGAGAGAGGCAGCTGACAAGATTCATCCACGAAGTGAATCTATTGAAGACATATAAATAGAAATATGTACATCATTGTAGGCGAATTGAAATCAAAAGACTGCAAAATTATAATCAAATAATTTACATTAATTTGTGAGACGAACGAAAAAGTCCAATCCATTTTTATTTGAGCAAATACACTACACTAAACAGCGGGCAAAAACTATATTTAGTTTCAGAATTCGATTAGGTTTAGATGTATGAACAGACAAGAATCGAAAACTCATTCCTTGGAAATGTTATTTTTGACTTTCAAATACCTCAACAACTTTGACTGATTGGCACATACTATGCGTTGATTTCCAGTTTGGAATCATCATTTAGGATTTTCCTCCTTGTTGATCCATCGTCCACCATTAAGCCTTATTCAAAAATGGTAAAAGAGTAAGATCTGATCATCTGGTCAATGCTTCTAGTTGGATTTTTAGACAAAGAACATGACTATATGACTCCTTAGTTTCTTCATTTTGCCACGTTGAGTCTATCGTCAAAACTTGATGGATGGGGATGTAAAAGAACTACAGTCAATTTCTAAGAACCCGAGAGAGAGAGAGAGAATCTTTCATGAGGAGGAATAAAGAAAATGTTCAAATATGACCCTCTTGATTAATTTTTGCAACTTAAACTAGTAAAATCATAATAGTAAAGTTATTAGAATAATTTAATTTTTTTAAAACAGCCAACTATTAATTAAAAATTATTTAGTTTAATATAAAACACTATGTTTTCATCAATAGAGAAATAAGATAAAATTCAATACTTTTTGAATAAAAACTCCATAAGATATAGCTTCTAACTATATAAAAGTAACCCAGTTTACTAAAGTTTTAGACTAAATAAAATAAAGTTTGGTGATTTGCATTAAATAGTCGCACGGTTAAACTCTAGAGTAAAGAATATAGGGCATAATGCTTCTGATTTTGATTACCTTTCGAAATTTCGTCGGCGAGTGTCCCTCTGATATGTGCTTTAATAAAATAAGAAAAATGCAAAGACAATTTAGAGAGAAATTTTCTACATCCTAAATAAGGGAAAGCTTTTGGACTTTTGTAAT